AAATTTGTTGTATATTTCTCTGGATTTCTACAAACTATAATCATTTCAAATGTAAATAATACATTTGTAAATATTTTTAATTCTTTCTTTGTAATATTTGTCTTTTACTTCTAATTATTCCTTCATTGCATTGGTTATAACTTCTAATACAATGTTGAATGAAAGTAGTGAGTGTGGACATTCTTGCCTTGTTTTTGACCTTAGGTGGAATACAGCTTACATTTTCCACTAACACTAAAGGAATAATATATTAGTTAGGAATTGTATTTGGCTGCATATAATAGAAACATTTATTTTTTAAAAAGTGGTACAAATGAGGAAGTTTTTCTCATGTATCCAGAAGTCTGTAGGTAGGCAGTCCAGATATGATATATTACTCTATTGTGCTGTTTGAAATCTAGGCTCCTTTGTCTTCCTACTTAGTTATCCCTGGGTTGCCTCCTCATTGTCACAACATAGCTCATGTGCTACTTCAAGTATCAATTCTGTAATTCATGAAAAAAGAAGGGAAGGGCAAAGGATAAAAGGTATATGGCAGATGAGTCTTTCATCTTTACAGTAGCTTTCTTGAAGTCCTGATTAGTATTGTATACTTGTATCTCATTGACCTGAACTGTTTAATAGACATTTATATCTGCAAAGGAAAAATGTAGTTTTTGAGGAGAGCCTCTAAAAATTCAATTTCTGTTAATAAAGAAGAAGAAGGGAAAGTATATTGTTGGGTAGACAGTTAGGCATTTCTATAAGCAACAAAGCTTCATCTTCTACAAGGCTGCTAATCTCTGAGTTAAGAATGCTAGAGAAGCAGGCTTGGTGGAGAAGTTCACAGATGATCTACTGGATTCAAGCTCTGAAATATTATAACTTAAAATTTGAAAATTCTAGACCAGGAATCTTTGATGCTTACAAAATAAAATGAAGACATTTTGACAACTTATTTAACAGCATTAAGAAAATGTCATTTATTTGTAAACGAAAGCAGAGTCTGTTGCCTGAATTCAAGACTACTTCATTCCATTTCTTTCTACATTGTAAAAATAGTCACACAACAGGAAAAACAGCTGGGTAAATAACTCAGGCATCTTAATGATGCCTTAACAGATATGGATCTCCTGTTCAATTGAAATAGGTCATTATTTTCTACCAATTTCAATAATGGACAGCAGATTCCTAGGTAAAAGTTATCATACGTTACATGGAATTCAAAATGTGCAAATAACATGTCCCAGTCTCAGGCTGAGGTTTAGGCAAGTGGGAAGAGAAGTAATGACTTTGGTGACAGAATCAGGAATATCTGAGGTAATTGTGATTCAAGGCAGAAAGTAGAACCTATTTTAACCATGGCTCCTAGACTAAGTGACTCTGAGAAACATTTTAACTTTATAAATGAAATCATCTAAAAACCTTCTATTTTCTTGTTAATCATATACAATTTATGACAAATATTACATTTTCAGTGATCTCTATGAAACTATTTGTTAGTGAAATGTGTTCATGGTGTCTCAAAAAAGACTGATACTTATTATTTGTTTCCCTTAAAAGGTAAAGAGAATAAATGATTGATATGGTTATCTACTATACTCCTATACATCAGGTTTCTCTATTAGCCATAGGTCTGATTCTGGTTGTTTCCATTCTTCTCCAAGCAGTGTGTTAAAATTGAAAGGTTTGAAGTATTCTAGGCGATGGCTAAAAGCAAAGAAAAAGAAGGTGGGAATTGAAATGAATTATGCATTTGTGAAATAGCTGTCTTGAGGGGCTATTTATTTTGTCACATCTGTGTTAAGACAACATTCTATTTTAAGAAATAGCAAAGGTAAGATGTATTCTATATGTACAATTTTCTCACTTTAGCTATCAAACACTCAGCTCTGAAAACATTCACCCACATCTCAAAGCACTCTCCTTTAGATTCAGCAAACAGCTCCCTCACAGCTGAAGGGAGAAATAAAAATTAACCCTCAAAACCTGACTTATTCTATCTGGCTTTAAACAAATCATATTATACTCTTGCATATGTTTTTCTATTCAAACTTTGATATAATTTATATCAGTCATACAAGCAATCGTTTTTAAAAGTTTTAGCTCTATAGATTAGAGGATAGACTTATTTCCCTTCTTTAAAGCAAGAGAGGTTAATGTAAAAGAGTGTTAATCCTAGTTCTTTTCTTTCCAGAAAAACCATTTACTCTTATGAAGCTTTCTCTTACGGGTTAATGAAGAGAGAAAGTCTTAGCTAAAATACTGCAGTGGAACTCCACTCTATGGGAAATCACTCTGCCCTGGAGCTGCCCTTGCCAATGTATAATCATACGTCCACCTAGGGTATGTCTCGAATAATGAAATGAATGAGGAGTCTGAATATAGGAAGATATTAGCTGATGAAGAGCCAGAGACATGCCATCTTGGTATGAGGGCCCTTAGTTACAACTAGACTTTTATCTAATTCTGCCTCCCTGGCCAGGATGAATCAGTGTTTGTTGAGTCTCAACTGTCAATCCCAGAGTAAGAGGTTAAAGAAACAACCATGAAGGGTAAGAGAAAGGAAGAGAGAAGGAGTCTAGGTAGAAAGAGTCAGGACTGGAGTGAAAGGCAAAAAAAAAGGGGAAAGTGTGTCAGACAAAATAAATATGCTAGAACAGATTAAAGCCAGGTAGAGTGAAGTAAGAGCATGATAGGAAGAAGGTAAACTGAGAAAGGAGAATTGTGTAGTGCATTCCAAGGGTAGAAAGGCAGGAATATCAGTCTACGTGGTGCAATGCACACCAGGATGTGTCTGTAGGCTCTTCTAAACACTCAGACTCACCAGACTATCTCAGGTAGGCTGAGTAAACTTAGGGAGATTTAGAGCAGGAATCACAGCTTGCCCCAGGAGAGCATCTGGCTTTCCTCCCCAAGGGAGTAGTCCTTGCAGCAGTCCATAGCACTCTACGGCTGGCCAAGAGCTCTATTCTCCCTAGGTGACAGCTTCAAGTGCAAAGAAACAAGACTCAAATTGGGAAAGTATAGGAGAAACCTTGGCTTAAACACCTGCTGCCCCATAGGAGCCAATATTTCTTGTAATAATTCCATAGGCATAGCTTCCAGGGTCCCCACAGGGAACATGACTATAAAGGGGAATCCCAAAGCCATGCTGTCTCCATCATGTATTTATATTTCACTCAAAATTATTCTCAGTCCAGATGTAAACCAATGAGGAATCATTTTTATCATAAGCAATGTTGCCTACAAACATAGTTGACATTTTTATTCTTATGAGGTTACCAGGAGAAGAGAACTAAAAAGATAACTGAAGATCAGATTCTCTTGCAGCAGGGGAAAGGATTTATTAACCTTTTGTTCACACCAGAAAACACTGATGCCTTTGGCCATTTAGCTCTGAAAGGGATTATCCATGAATTCGCAATCATACTTCTGTATTAGCTGTTTTATAAACTCACTAAACAAGACTTTTCTCATACCACTACGGAAAAAGTGCTCTGCTGGCAGTAGTGAGAGAGATTATGTCAGTCCAAAGTTAATCTATCAAGTATTTTCTGAGGACCATTAGGGAACATAGGACTCTACCAGGTTCTTGGACACATACTTCATCTTCTTTGACCAAAAGATGTTACTACTTCTCTACCAAGAATTAATTTCCAAAAAATTTTTATAGTTGGAACATCATTCATTTTCTACTTACAAATCAGGTTTTTGTCCTTCTTGCAGTTCATGCTGAGGTACAGGGTAAAGAGCTTCATAATTTCGTTTATCTTTTGATCCATGAATTGCAAATGAATTGAATTTTGTCACATTGGGTGGAAAATAACTCCAAGGAAGATAAGCTTTGCCTTCCCATTTTGTCTCTCCTCTGGACACTCTGAATGATAAGGCAAGTTCTTGCTATAGAAACATGTGGAACACAAAAGGTAAAATCAGACTTATACTTTAAACATATCAATATATGTATCACTTGTATACTTAAGGATTTTGTCTCATATTTTTATTTACTTACTTTCCATATATTTCTTCTTCCAGAAAGTAAAAGCACTAAATGCTGTCCATGGCTGTCAAAATTAAGATTCCTCATAAGTGTTTGAAAGAAACAAATGTTATTTTCTTTACTATTCTGCATACCTGGAATATATGTGCTTTTAAATAAATTTCCAAATAATTAAAAGATGCAATACTAATATTTGATAATTATAGGAAGAGCCACTGTGTTCAGTTACTTAGAAATGACATCTTTGGGTTTACCATTTTCTGAACAATTTCCATCAACTGCATAAAGCTTCAGGTGCTTAGATTGTTTTTTATATTCTTTAAATAAGAAATTATATAAAATGCTTCATTTGGTTAGATGACACAAAGAATGAGAAAGGGTCAGGGGGATATCATGTTATTTGGAGTTTATAATAAAACCTAAGTTTCAAAAACTAAAGTACTCTAAAGAAAGCTAGCACGAATTTACAAGTCTGAATTCAACAACTTTACTAAAGGTCTTTTCTGTAAAAAACAAAAACAAACAAACAAACAAAAACTATCTTGAAGCCCATTAGTAAGATAGAAAATGCAAAACATAGACTGTCTAAAATTAGTCAACAGGCTAAAGGTTTTGATGTGTGTCTATTTTCTCACACAACTATCGTCAACTTGTCTGCCTCTTGTGTTTTCCTGCTTTGTACCATTAGTTCAGGCATCAGTGTGACATTTTCAAAAAGAAACACAAAATATTCTCACAAGGAAACTCTAATAATAGTGCATAATTGGGATTAGCCAGGTCAGTAAGAACCAAAGGATTTCATTTGTTTACATGCAGTAAATTTACTGGCTCTGGAAAAGACTATATCTTAAACATTTCTACATAGATGGTCTTTAGCGAGCTTTTTAGAAAGGATTTCTTGAGTCAACTATTCTAGCAAAAGACAAGTATTATTTTCCATTTAAAAGTCTTCCGATTGTTTTTGTTATTATTCAGCCTTAAGAATACGTCCTAGAAGGAGTAAAAATTTTTGCAAATTAAAACAACAATTTTTATATGCTACTTTCCTAGAGGTTAATTCCTGCTACAGGAATTGATTGCCTGAAGCAAAATCATGATTCTTGACTATTAACTATCCTGATGTATATGAAACCAAACTACTCTGAGGATTGTTCTTTTAACTTTCAAAATCTATTAATTTTATACACAATGGTTACTGTGTAATTTCTTAACAAAAGAGAATCTAATTATTCTATTCTTCCAGTGTTAAGGTATTACTTTATGAAAATAAACTGATATTATCATCTAATAAAATTAAAACTAAGGTTCAAACTTTAGAATTCTAGTAGATCCAAGTTCTTTACTGTCCTCTAGAGAAGTTATAAATGTTTGCCTTAGTTTTCTCACCTGCAGGGTGAAAATAATCACATAATAGTTGACATTTTCTTAACTCTCATGACAGTTTATGAGAATTAATCATTTTTTCAATAAAAAATTTTGTCACATTAGTTAAAATGTGACACACAAAGATATATGATTATTCTTCTTAAAAAAGTAATGCAAACAGATAGATTTTCTACATTAGACTTAGCAAAATATCAAAATAAGGGAAAACAATATCTCAAAATCTTGTTTAGATCAATTGTTTGGAGCTCTCTGACCAGCCTACTAAGGAACAAAGGCTACTGGATCTTAGATATTGAGAGGCACT